CCGTCCACCTCGATCGCCGCCAACTCCACCGATTCATCGCCGTTCAGGAACAACGATTTCCCATTCGCATCGTTCGCCGGTCGAACTCGAATCGTCGACGTCACCGTCGTCGTCGCCTCCCCGAGCTCAAAGTCCAAATTCACCCTTTCGAACGCGTACGCCGGTCGCTCGTAATCCTTCAGATATATCGTCTTCGGCGCCTCCGTCGGCGTCTCCGTCGCCGTCGTCATCGCGCGCGGCTTCACCGCGCTCGTTCGCGACGTCGCGTTCGATGGTTTCGGTCGTGACGTCAGCGCTCGAAACGCCGCGCTCGCGACGCCTCGCGCGCTCGATCGCATCGTCGGCGCCGACGCTCGCTCGGGCGTCGTCTCGGGGATTCGTCGCGGCGCGCGCGAGCGTCCGGGCGCGCGTCGTCGTCGCGCTGTGCGGCGCCGAGCGCGACTGCGAGCGAAAAGCACACTTTCCAGCGCTTCAAAACGCGGCGACGCGGCGCGCGTCGCGTCGAGCGCGACCGCGGCGCGCGCGCGCGTCGCGAAGGCTTTATAACGGGCGCGCGCGGCGTCGGCGCGCGGAATCGCCGCGCGACGCGCGCGAAAGACGGCGAAACGTCGATGGTGGAAAACTCGTCCGCGACGGGGACGACTCGAGAAACGTACGAAAGCGCCAAGCGCGCGCGCGAAGACGCGCGAACGGAGATCGCCATGGATGCCGTGCGCCGCGCGGGCGACGCAGACGCGTCAACGAGCGCGACGGTGAGGGATGGGGAGGTGTTTTCGAAGAATTTGTACTTTGAGCACCCGTCGACGACGGCGCGAAGCGCGAGAGCGACGGAAGACGCGATGCGAGCGCGCGGCGTGCGCGTGGTGCGAGGGGCAGATGTGCCCAAAATCGTGACGACGTTCGAGGAGGCGTCGTTCCCGGCGTACGTGATGGACGATTTGAAGGAGCGCGGTTTGGCGACGCCGACGCCGTGTCAGTGCCAGGCGTGGCCGATCGCGCTGAGCGGACGAGACTTGATCGCGGTCGCGGAGACGGGGTCTGGAAAGACGTTGGCGTACGTGTTACCCGCGATCGTGCACGTGAACGCGCAGCCGGTGCTGGAGAAGGGGGAGGGGCCGATCGCGTTGGTGCTCGCGCCGACTCGAGAGTTGGCGAGTCAAATCGAACTCGAGGTCGCCAAATTCGCGGCGTCGAGCGAGATCAAGCACGCGTGCGTTACCGGTGGCGTCCCAAAAGGTCCGCAAATAAAAGCGTTGAAATCAGGAGGGAGCGAGATTTGCGTCGCGACGCCGGGCCGCCTGATTGATTTTTTGGACGGCGGGCAGACGAATTTGCGACGAACGTCGTTCGTCGTCCTAGACGAGGCAGATCGAATGCTCGACATGGGTTTCGAGCCGCAGATTCGTCGAATCATCGCTCAAACGCGCTGCGATCGCCAAACGCTCCTGTTCACCGCGACGTGGCCGGTGGAGGTGCGAGAAGTGGCGAGAGAGTTTATTCGCAACGACCCGGTGGAGATGCGCGTCGGCGGCGCGGGCGACGGTTTGCTCGCATCGAAAAACGTCGAACAAATCGTGCACATAGTCGAAGACGCGGAGGCAAAGTACGCTAAACTCATGGATATTTTAGAAGAAGAGATGGACGGGAGCTCGATCTTGGTCTTCGTCGAGACCAAGGCGCTCGTGGACCAGCTGACGCGTCGACTCCGTTCGGAGGGTTGGCCCGCGCTCGGCTTGCACGGCGACAAAGAACAGAAAGAGCGCGACTGGGTCCTCGAAGAATTTCGCGCCGCGCGATCGCCGATCATGATCAGCACCGACGTTGCCAGTCGCGGCTTGGACGTCGTCGGCGTGAAGCTCGTCGTCAACCACGACTTTCCGAAGAGCGTCGAGGAATACGTCCACAGAATCGGTCGCACCGGTCGCGCCGGACGCAAAGGCAAATCGCACACGTTCTTCTCTATCTTGCGCGACGGCAAGCACGCGCGAGAGCTCGCGCACGTCTTACGCGCGTCGAATCAATCGATCCCGCGCGCTCTCGAGGGCGTCGTCGCCGACTGAGCGTCGCCCTTCGCCGCGCCCGTAGCCTCACTTCGCCGCTCGCGACGTCCCGTCGTCGGTCGCCGTAAATAACGCACGCAACTCAACGCACGATCTCTCCACGGCGATGTCCCTCGCGAAGACGTACCTCGCGTCGTACAACGCCGCGCTCGTCGCCGGCTGGTCCTACGTCCTCATCCTCGCCTTCGCCGCGCTCCGCACCGCCGGCCCCTCCGCCGTCTACGCCGCCGTCGAGCGCCCGCTCGCGCTCGCACAGACCGCCGCCGTGCTCGAGATCGCGCACGCCGCGTGCGGGATCGCGCGATCGCCCGTGCTCGTCACCGCGATGCAGGTGAGCAGCAGGTTGATGGTCGTCTGGGGCGTCTTACATCTCGCCCCGGTCTCGCGCACGGCGAGTCTGGACGTCGTCGGACCGCTGAAAATCGGCGTACCGTCGCTCATGCTCGCCTGGGGCGTCACCGAGGTCGTGCGGTATAGCTTTTACTTTTTTAAGCTCGTTCGGGGCGACGTGCCGAGGGCGGTGACGTGGTGTCGATACACGTTGTTCATCGTGCTGTACCCGCTAGGCGTGAGCTCTGAGCTGTTTCTGGCGTACAGCGGGTTCAAATATTTGGTAAAAACGAACCCGTTGGCGTACGAGATGCCGAATGCGGTGAACTTTGCGTTTCATTTGCCGACGGCGATGCTCATGTTCTTCGCGGGATACGCGCCGGGCTTTCCGATGTTGTACGGGTACATGCTCGGCCAACGCAAGAAGGTTTTGGGTGCGGCGAAGAGCAAGCGCGACTGAGCGTAGTAGTATTGCCCGAGCGACGAGCGGGATCGATCGAACGGGGTAGATGTAAATGTTGAAATATGACGTCGTCGACACGCTACTAGACTACGGGACTGCTACGGGTTTACATGAACAAGGGAACGCGCTCCTCGACGTTTTTCGCCAGCTTCGAATTCGAATTCGCGCGTAAAAACTTCACCAACACCAAGTGAGTGAACATGACGAGACACAAGAACGCGTTCAGGTACACCACGGTTTCTCGACGCCAATAATTCGTCCACTGGTACGCCCAGTCGCCGTTCAGCACCATGACGTTGAACTGACCGATGATGAAAAACGTGCTGGCGTAAAAGATCGGCTGCGACATGTAGCACTTTGGGAACACCAATCGCCCGAGAGAGGCCTCGATGAGCAACAACAAGACGTTGCCCAAGTACCCTATCATGTATTGCGGCTCGAGGTAACACAGGCGCGAGGCGGGATCGAGAAACGTCGTCAACTTCCCTCTCGCGCTCGACGGCACGCACTGCGGGGCGAACGCCGCCTCAAAGAGCACGATGACGAGAAATGAAACGCTCATCGTGAAAGCGATGGTGTACAGCGCCATAACCCAGTGTCCCAACGTGTTACACCGCCCGCTGTGGCCGAGGTAGTGATCGTGCGTCGCCGTTCTCGAACACATCCCCGCGAGCGACGCCAGCGTCGCGAAAAAGAAAAACAGCGTCACCGAGTGCACGGTCCAATCGTGCAGATTCAAAAAGTACGACATGTCCAACCCATACATCTCCGTCTCCGCGTTCACCGTCAATCGCGGCGCGATTTTCTCTCGCACTTCGTAGTACGCGCACGCCGCCGTCGCGCACGCTCGATACGCCAACAAAAACACCCCAGACTTCCCGAACGACTCCGCCCACACGCTTCGATTCGTCGCCCCGCCCGCGTACGCCAACCCACCGTTCATGCGATAGTACTGCAAGTTATCGCCCGCGAACCCGAACCACATGAACGTCGACACCGCGCTCGCCGTCGCCCACAGGTACCTCAGCGGGTCGTTCTTCCAGTCCATCGCCGCGTCCACGTCGTTCAGCAGCTCTTGCACCTTCGTCGCGTTCACCACCGCGGTGCCGTTCACCATCGCGCGCACGAGCGACGCCATCGCGCGTCCCCGAGGGTGTTGCGCCCTCGTCGATTCGCCCGATCGAGCCCTCGCGCGCGCCCGCTCGCGCCGCGCGCGTCCCGCGCGCGTCCCGTCCGTCGCCGTCGCGTCCTCGCGCGTCGCGTCGCGGCCGTCGCGAAGTCGCGCGTCGCCGAGTCGCGTTCGTCGCGTCACTCGCGCGCGCAACACCAATCGTTCGCAAAAATGTTCGCGTCGACGCTCTCGCGCGCCGCCGTCGTCGCCGCCGCGCGCGCGCCGGACGCGGACGCGTCCATCGCGTCGCGCCGCGCCGCGGTCGCCGCGGGCGCGCTCGCGGTCGCGCTCGCGCCGCGCGGCGCGCGCGCGCGCGGCCTGCCGACGCTCGAGTGCGCGAACGAACTCGTCGTCGGCGCGCGCGGGCTGGCGTTCTGCGACGCCGTCGTCGGCGACGGCGCGACGCCGACGGCGTCGAGCGTCATCAAGGCGCACTACGTCGGGCGGTTGGAGAGCGGACGCGCGTTCGACTCGAGCTACGAGCGCGGCGCGCCGCTGCAGTTTAAACCGTCGCAGGTGATTCAGGGCTGGGGACTCGGGATCTGCGGCGACGGCGACGCGATACCCGCGATGCGCGTGGGAGGGAAGCGACGGTTGGTGATCCCGCCGGAGCTCGGGTACGGGGCGCGAGGCGCGGGAGGGGCGATACCGCCGAACGCGACGCTGTACTTCGACGTCGAGCTCGTCGCCGTCGCGTGAGGCCGACGTCGTCGCGCGTCGGTCGCGCTGGTGACGGTTAGCGTTTTGAATACTTTTGTTCATCTGTTTCGTTTCGTTTCGTTTCGTTTCGTCTTCGTCGTCGTCTTCGTCGTCGTCTTCGTCTTCGTCTTCGCGGCGCCGCGGCGACGGCGACGGCGACGGCGACGGCGTCGCCGCACACGACGTCGCGCAAAAGCGTCGACTTACGCGCCCGCTCGAACGTCGCGAACGCGTCATGCCCATCTTCTGAACCATCAAAACGGCCGCCGACGGCGCGATGTACGCCGTCGGCGCGACCGATAAGCTGCAAGGCACCGGCGTGTGGAGCTTCATCAAGGCTGAGCGCGACTCCGGCGCGAACAAGGCGGCGAATAAGACGAAGCGACCGGAGCAAAAGAAGAAGACGCCGCAGCGCTTCCCCGGGGGGAAGTGACGGGACGGCGAAGCTCGGTTCGAGCGCGCGGTGAGCGCGAAAGGTTACGTTATCTAAAGTGACGTGGCCTTCGGGACGCGCGAGCGAACGAAGAAACGACGAAACGACGCCGCGGCGCGCGCGCACGTGACGGGCATCGAACGAAATCGACTTCATAGTGAGTGTTCGAAGTTCGTGCTCCGATGACGCGCGCGCGTTGATGGTGAATCGTGATGTTGTTTAGTTTTTTACGCGGCGCCGGCGAGGGAGCGCGAACAGACCGCGTTTGTAGTGTGACCACGTTTTATGATTGTCGCTATGAATACGCTATGTTTTCTTACACTGTACGTTTCGTCCTAGTCGAGCCATGCCGGTCGCCTGGCGCCGTCGAATCGTTGATCATCGTTCTCGTAATCGCTAAAGGATTGACTTCGCTGCGTCGACGCGTCGTCGTCGAGCGTGTCGGCGTCGGAGGCGGAGTCCCACTCATGATCATCCGCGACGAACGCGTCGGAGTGCCCGAACGCGTTGTTTTCGACGTGATTGTAGTCGCTTCCAACCCCCAAAGCGCGAACATCGACCACTGGTACGCCGTAATGTCCGCCGTCGCGCTGGCGCGTGCCGCGAGAGCCTCGCTTCGCGGTCGCGGCGTCGCCGCCGTATATCTTTGAACCGGTCTTACGCACCCAAGGCGCGCCACCGTCGTACTCGCGTTCGTTATCATAACGATGATGAATCAGCTCCGCGATATCATCGTCGTCGCCTTGTCCGAGCGACCACGCGTCTCGCGAGTTCACCGAGTCGCCGCGCACGGGGCCTCCCGCGTACGAGCCTAGTTTCATTTTGGCCGCCGCGACAGTGCTCTTGTCGAACAAGAACGCGTAATCGGGCTGATATTCGGGACGGTACGTCTCCGAACCGACGATTAACCCGGTCATGATGGCTTCGTGATACTGAGGTAAGTTTTTCCACGAGCGCGCGATGTCTCGACGCGACTTGCCCCAGTTATGCCACGCGACTGCGATTTGCCACAAACCCATGACGCCCAAAAGGGCGAAGAACATACCCATGAACGGCATCCCCGCTTCGCTGAACGGTCGTTCTGCGAAACGCAGCTGTACGCGTGGCGGTGGAGCGACGAAATCTCCCGCCGACAACGCCCCGACTGTCGCGTCGCGATACTGATGAAAGTACGTCGTCGCGACGCCGGTGCTTTGCACGATGGCCGTGAGCGCGCCGTTGTCGTGCGGCGGGTTTAATATTTCACCCCCAATCTCATACGCAAGCGGAGGAGCATTGTTCTTACTCGAATGTTCAAAGTCTTTCGTCGGTTTCGCCAAATCAGGTGTCCAGTGGTACGAGAACATCCAAAGACCGATGAGAGCGTGAATCGAGACTGAGATGAAAAGCACCTTCGCCGCCGTCATGGGAAGCGTGCTCTTCGATCTTTCGGGCAACTTGCACACTTTCAACAGGAGGCGGTAATCGTACAGGTACACCAACACGAAGTACATCGACAAAACCAAGTATATCAGCGGCATACCGCTCGAAAAGGTCATCGCCGCCATAATCGTAAAGCAAACGTCGCCGCACTTGGCGCCGGTGTCAAACGATGGCCCTTCAAACGCCTTGTTCAGCTTTGCTTGCGTGTGACAGTACGCCACGGAGAATTTTCGACCGACATGCGTGATGATGTCTACAAGTACTCGAGCCAAAATACGTATCGTCACGCTCATCATGATTGCGAAAAACAACACCAAGCCGACGTCGTTGAACCATTCGCTCGTGAAATCTGCGTACTCGCCTTTGAGCCCAAACATTTGCTTGATGAGCGGGAAATACCTGCCAATGTGATAGAAATTGGCGTTGAGCAAGCCATAAATAACCGCGACGTTCAAATATCGCACCCAGAAGATTATTTTCGTCTTGAGCACCTTCGTGGCACTGCGCGTGCGCAAACGTTCTGCGGCGACGAGGAGGGGCACAATCCATTCGAGGAGGACGTTCATGAGCGTAATGCAAAACGACACCCACAACCAGTTGTAATACTCTCCTGGACCGAGGTTCACGTATTTCGCGCACGAGTGGCGAATGGCTTTGTTGTATGCCCGAACAACCTCCGAAGTTAAGCCGTACTTCAGACTGGCGCAGTAGCACGCGTGACAGTTTTGCATCGTCGGACCTCCCGGACAACGGTTGGTGTCTTGGGCGCAATTCGTCAAATCACGAACCGCATCCTGCTGAGCGTAACGACGATCTAAGAGTGTGGCGTTGGGGTAGTCGTAGAAAGCGTAAATTGGCGCCCCCCAAGGCATGCCAACGTACGTTTTGTCCTTGGAAAAAGCCACGCCGCATTGGTCCAAGCGAGCTCTGCATGCTGTCCTGAACTGATTCTTATGCGTCTCGAATTGCTCAACCGGATTACCGTGGGCGACGACAATGCCAACATCGTCCGCAAGCGTAGTGACCATCATGTCTGCGTTCTCCCACAGCTTCTCCTTGTCATCCACGAGCATCTTCAAAAAGCCGTAACACAAGAGCACGACGGCCGAGCACGAGAATAGCACGACGAGTCGACGCCATGAGCGATTCGAGAGATTCAGATTCTCGAATCGTACGTCCTCAGGTTCGGGAGCATCTCGCACTCTGTACTTCCGCTTTCCTCGGAAACGCTCTTTCCTAGGAAACGCAAAGATGTACGACATTATACTGCGCGTGTTGCGCAATATACAATCAATCTTTGAGCCTTCGGTTTCAAACGTGATGAAAGCACTACACTGTTTCGCCCGCGTTCGCGCTCTTCTGCGCTTCAATTTCCTATCCACAGCCAATATCTCGTTTTCTATAGCCGTCTTCGTGCCGTCACCTCCGCGATTACCTGCGGCGATGAGCGCAGCTTCGGCTTCGTCGTAATCCTCCAACAAGCGCCGACGCCGTCGCTGCGCGTTGATTTGCATACACTCCGTCTTTACGAGCACGACGTCGGCTACCGTCCCAAACCTGAGCGCGAAAAAGCATCGCACTTCTTCATCGGTCGCATCGCTTGGTAATCCTGTAACTAATACCGTGTAATCCTTCAACGTCGCCGTCCCTCTCTCGACCCGTCGCTCCGTACGCATCAACACAAGCATAATCACTGGAACGCTCAATATAATTATCAAGGACACCACGACATCCATCACCACCGAAAATCGAATGAAATCTATCTTACTGGAGCTCCACCGCAGCACCCCACTCGTTGTCCCCGCGAGCACCCACGCTCGTTGCGGCACATCGTCAGGCGCCACGGTCCCCAAGCTCGCGCTCATCGGATTCGCCCAGTGCCAATCGACGAACCACGAGTGAAACGACGTCGTCGGGCGTCCACTGAGCGCGTCCGCCGTCGGCGCTGTCGCGGTTTCAGGCTCCGCTTCGTAATGCGACGCGTAATACGTGCTCGTGTAATTAATGAACATCGCGGGCAAATTCAACGCGAACGCCGCGAAGAACAAGCACGCGAACGCCCGCAGCACGAAAAAGTATCCCGATACCCCCGCCCCGAACTCCAATCCCAAGTCTACTTCGGAGTCAAAATATTTAAGTTTTTCCAATTTCCCATCCTCGCTCAGCAGTCTCGGCTGCGCGCTGTCCGCGTGCGTCGCCGCCTCTTCCGCGCTCGGCGGCAGGTACACCCCGCGTTCCCGCTCCACGTCGCGGTGATCCTTCACCCGCGCGTCCTCGAACGCCTTTGTCGACAGCACCTTATCCGACGCGATTCGTGCGTCCGCACGCGCGCGCGCGGGCGTCGCTGGCGTCCAATTCGTGTCCATTCCGCGTCGGTTTTGCACCGAATTTCGCGAATTTGCGGAATGCCGCGGGGTCGTTACGTCGACGAGCGTCGCGCACCGACGCGCGCCACGCGCGCGCGCGCGGTTGAGCTTTCAACACGACGCGTACTATCGCCCGACGCGCGCGTGGCGCGTTTACGGTGCGTTCGCGGCGATGCGAGGCGGCGGTGTTTGACGCGCGGGACCCCGTCCTCGCGGTTCCTTCCCCCTCTGGCTCGCGAGAACCACATTCGACGGATTCGGTGCGGAAGCGCGCGGTTGCGTTCGCGAGGGTGCTTGAGTAACGTGATATTACAACTTTTGGCGCGGGCGCCGCGCGCGCGGCGCGCGCCGACGGGTTTCGCCGTCGATCGACGGGGCGTCGGATTCGCAGTCACGCCGAGTCGGAGCCCGAACCGTCGTCGGAATCGGAATCGGATTCCGCGCCGCCGCCGGCGAGTTGTGCGGACACTTCGTCGCTGAGTGGTGTGATGCACGTCCATTTCGGACGATTACCGAGATCGAGTTTCCACACGTCGTCGAGGGAAACTTCTACGTCGCCGAGCTCGACGACGCCGCCGAACAAGTACATGCTATTCGCCTTGATCGCTATGGCGGCGTTGATTCGTCCGCGAGGTTTCGGGAGGGATTTCGGCGGCGCCTCTCCACTTCCGGGTGAGTACAGCAACTCGCTCACGACGCCACCGACCTTGTATAGCTTGTACGCCTTGCGAACTTGATAACCGCGAAAGTGAGCTTGAATCTTAATCGCCGCCCGGTGCGCCTCGCTGCGAATATTAAAGTTTTCGTTCACCACGTCCCCGGCGGCGACGCGCTCGGCCTCTTCCAAGCTCCCCGCTTTGTGTGTTTTCGTCTTATCTTCGCCGTACAAGGTGACAGGGAACCATTTCTTGGCCTCCATGTTCAAGTTGTACGCGTCGGTGAAGAACTCAGAGACGATGACGTCGCCGCGCTTGACCTCGTGATCCACGACGCCGCCGAACAACACTAAACGCTTCTTCAACGCGTGCATCGCACTCGACGCCCCTGCGCGCGCGCTCGGCGCTAATCCTTGTCGCTTCAGCTTTTCCCATCGCCACGTCTTTAAATCTAACTTCCAAGCGTCTGAAAACGTCGTCCCGCGTTCGCTACGATCCTCGTCGGCGTCGCCGTCGTTGTCAACGTTTTTACAATACCCTCCGTACACGATGAACGCGTCATCGTGCACGCCCACGTGACACGCGCTGCGCGGACTCGGTCCGAGCGCTCCCTCGCCCCCCGCGCACCGACACTTCCACTCGCTCTTCTCGAAATCGTACTCCCACGCGTCGTTGTAATACCGAACCTCGCGTCCAGTGTCGTAAAACCCGCCGAATAAGATCGCCTTCTTCCCCCAAATCGCCATCCTATGCCCCGACCGCGCGCTTGGCCCTCCCTTCGCCGGCATTGCCTCCCAAATGTTACTCTCCAAATCAAATCTCCAGCAGTCGCGATGGTGTAAAAACCGCTCTTGATTCGGCGACGTAAACTCTCCCCCGAACACGTACACGTACCCCCCGTACGCCAACGCCTGATGTCCCGACCTCGGATGCGGTCCTTTCGCGTTCGATACCTTCGTCCATCGATCGCGGTCGACGTCGTATCGATACAAATCACCGTACACGACGCATTTTTCATCCCCCGGCGTCACGCGTTCGCCGCCGTACAAAATCAACTCATTCCCTCTCCCAACCACAGTCGCCGTCAGCGACGCGTGTCCTCGCGCCTGCGGTCGCGGGCAATCCTTCTCCACCTCCACCTCCGCGCGCCGCGCGTCCTCTATCGCCATCGCGGCTAAAATAGCGTCGATGTCATCCTCCACCAGTCCTCTCTCCAGCCGTCTGTGATTTTTTTCCGCATTCTTCTCTCGTTTCAGCGCCGTCTTCGTCGCCCCCGTACGCTTATCCGCGCTCACCTTGCCGAGCTTCTTCGCCACTTTCTTCCGCTTGTCGCGTCCGCCGCCCATGGCGCGTCGCGCCGCGCGCGTCGTCGTAAAGTGTCGTCGTCGTCGTCCCGCTCGTCTCGTCCCGACGGCGACGGTTCGCGACAGTGCGCGACGCGCGCGATGGCGAACACGCTCGAGGAGTGGTACGCGAGCGTGCCGACGGTGACGCGCATGTACCTCACGCTGACGTTCGCCGTCACCGTGGGCTGCGCGCTCGAGGTGCGTCGACGGAAGCGCTCGATTGGATTCGACGCCGAGCGACGAAGATTCGATTCGCGCGGCGAAGGGGGCGACGCGCGCGAACGGCGGGAGACTGACGACGCGCGCGCGCGACTCGACGCAGTTGATCTCGCCGCTGAACGTGTACTTCAACAGTAAGCTGATATTTCAAGAGTACGAGCTGTGGCGGTTGGTGACGAATTTCTTCTTCTTCGGCTCGCTCGGCGTCGACTTCGTGTTTCACATGTTCTTCCTGAGCCGGTACTGTCGAATGCTCGAGGAAGGGTCGTTTCAGGGACGGTCGTGCGATTTCTTTTACATGCTGCTGTTCGGGGGGACGCTGTTGACGGCGTTCGCGCCGTTCGTCAACGTGCAATTTTTGGGGACGAGCCTGACGTTTATGATGGTGTACGTGTGGGGACGGAGAAACGCGGCGACGCAGATGTCGTTTTTGGGGTTGTTCAACTTCACGGCGCCGTATTTACCGTGGGTGTTGCTGATTTTTTCCACCTTGATCGGATCGCAGCCGATCACGGATGCGCTAGGAATGATCGCCGGACACGCGTATTACTTTTTGAAGGACGTGTATCCGGAGATGACGGGGAGGGAGCCGTTGAAAACGCCCGCAATCGTGTGCGCTTTGTTCGGTACGCGGCAGAGATTAGTCGACACGGATGGGGTGCAAACGCGTGCGGCGCGACGCGCGCGGCGCGACGCGGGGGCGGCTGTCGAGGGAGCCGCTGGGGCGCCGCGAGACTTGAACGAGTAAAGCGACGATATAGAAAGCGACGATATAGAAATGTTGTGAACGAGACGACTTAGAATTGACAAGAAAAGAAAGCCTTTCGCGCTATTCTATTGGAGTGCGGTAACGATCGTATCCATGACCGCAGCCGCCGCGACGGCGTCCATCGAAGCGACGGTGAATCTATATCGTCCGCGCACGTTCGCGTCGCTCTCCACGCGAACGCCCACAAAGACTTCACCGCATCGTTCGCCGACGAACCGGCTTCCCGCGATTAAGTTTGCGGGGTTTGGATCTAAGCCTTTATGTACGACGAGCCGCATGCCCGAGAAGGCGTTTGACACGCTTTCGATGCTCGTCGCGTACTGCTGCGACACGTCCATAATTTTCTGTTGCTGCCCGGCGGACGCCATCTGGTGCCACTTGGCGATGAACTCTTGCGGCGAAGCGATGGTCATCGGGCTCAAAAACTTGGTCACACGTACGGGCAACTCCAGAGACCTGGCACACGCCGCCGCGACGGCGGTGGACGTGTACGAAAACTCGAGTTTTGGCGCCGAGGCAAACGCCGACGTAATCGCTACTTGCAACATCAACTGCACCTGGCGCTTCGGTCCGATGGACGCGGGGAAGGGTTGAAGACTGTGACGCAAGCCTTCGATCGACGGTATGACCATTCTGAAGTTTTGCAGATCCGCGCTCGCGGACTTGTTCCCAACGTAGAACATCACGCGACCTTGAGACCCTTGCCACTGCGATTTCACGCCAATCTGTACGTTCGCGTCTTCATACAGCAAGCCGTTGTCGGCGATGAGGAACCGTTTCGCGCAGTCTTGAACGTTCACCGTGGGTTGAATACCGTCGCTCGACGTCAATGATTGTACCGGTGCCACGGGTTGCGTCGGTGCCGGCGCCGCGGGCGCCGGCGCACCCAGAGCTCCAAAGGCGTCTAAGGCGTCGCCGTGCGTCGCCGGCGGCGGTTGCGTCGCCGCGAGCGCGCCTAAGCCTAGTAAATCGTCTAAAGCGTCTGCGGACGATGTGGTCGTCACCGGCCCCGCGGGAGGTGACGTGGAACTCGGAAGTGCGAGACGCTCTTCTACCGCTGGAAGTGCGGGAGGGGCGTTTCCGAGAAGCTCGTCGAGATTCATCCCAGTCGACGACGGCGGAAGCGCCGCCGGCGCCGAAGATCCGTCGCCCATCAAGTTGCCGAGCAAATCTGTGACGGCATCGACCGGCGGTGCTGCGGCTGCAGGAAGCGCCGGCGCCGACCGCGCCTGAGCGCGGGGTTGCTCTCTCGCCGTCACGACACCACTCATGGCAAGTTTACGAACTCCCGCGGCGACGTCCGAGGCGACGTTTTCTACTTGTATGTGCTTCTCCAACACGCTCGAACGTTCAGGGTACTCGGGCATGGGCTCGAGAATCGGTCGCATGTTCGGTCCGAGACGCAAGAGCTTCAGATATTCGTTTGCACGTTGCTGCAACTCGACGTCAAACGATGAGCTCATGTCGGTGAACACCTTCACGATCTTACCCATCGACGCCTGATCGCAATTCTTGTGCATCGCAACCTTGACGAAGGCTGTGAGCATGATGCCCTGCGTGACCTCATCCGTATCCTGGAACAGTGGCACTAAGAGATCGACGTACTGCGACGCGGGAATGGGAAGCAAATACCCAAACTCTCCGATGCAGTACGACATCGCGCGAAGCATGAGTTCGTTCGACGCGCCCTCGTCGCGCAACTTGACGAACATCAATTGCGCCGTGCGACCGTGAAGCGACGCGTCGTTGGTTGCGATTTGCACCATGCGATGCCACAAGTCGTCGTTGATGAAATCGCCCGCCTTGTCTATCATTTGCATCGCGATCTCAATGAACCACATGCGATCGTTCACGCTGTAGCGCTCGGCCAAGATGGCCGTTTTGAGCGCCAGTTCCTCGCGAATGTCAAAATCAGCGGTGACGAAGTACTTGATGAGCTCCTCGATGACAGAGTGCACGTTGGAAGCATCGCACATAGAAAACAATAAAGTCAACGCGCGGCGACGAATGGAAATGTCCGCGTCGTGCAACGCAGCCACGACTTGCTCTTGGTACACCTTTATGGCTTCTCGCAAATCCGCCATCGCCGCGAGGGCGTTGAGCGTGTTGAGAGCCAAGTAGCGAATATTCGGTTCCTTCATGTCGAGAAAATTCCCGAGAATCTCCACGCACGGGTCCAACAGTTCGTGCGCGTAGTCCATGCTAGTAACTAAATTGATCGCCTCGAACAAGATGGCGTGCAGCGCATTGTTCTTATTGAAGTTTTTCACCGTGTCCGTCTTGGTGAGGATGTTTCGCATGGCGATGAGCTGCGAATCGAGCAGCGCCTGATCGTCTGGTGTGGGAAAGTACTGCAAAATCTTCATGCACTTCACCTGTAACCATGGAGAGGGAATACCGTAGTACAAATACTCGGGCGGAATGTCCTTATTCCTCGTCAATCGTTCCAACAACGCGATGACCTTGGGCACGCACGCCTCGTACCCTCGGTAATCGTGCTGCACGAGACCCAGCAACAAACCCAAGACGCCCATGAGCACCCCCAAATCGCGCTCGGCGTCGAGTAAGTCGGTCATTTTTGACGCGAACGTTTCCGCGAGTAAAATTTCAGGATTCTTACGAAACAACCTCAACAGACACAGCGCCGCCTTTTTCCGAACCACCGGCCGAATCGTCGGCGTCATCACAATCGTCTCCACGTCCCCAGCTAACGAATCCGCGAACTCCCGCCCCCCGACGTTCGCGATGCACGACAACCCCAAGCACTGATTCGTCTCATTGCTCGAGATCACATCCGTGCGTATGCTATTGATGGCCATTCTCAAAAACTCGTTTCTCTCGTTCAATATCACCGACGTCGTCATGTACCCAACCTGTTTCTCCGCGTACGACGACGCCGATATCAACTTCAGCGCCTCGGTGTGTCCAAAGTCCACGTTATACCCGAGCATGTATATGTACAGCAGCTTCAGCACGTACTTTTTCCGTTCGTACGCCGTGAGCGCGCGGTGGGTCTTATTGAATTTCCGTCGAATATTCGCCAGTTCCTTCTCCACGCGCGCGCGCTCTTGCTCCTGCGTTCGCGTTCGCGACGCGCGCGACCCTCGTCGTCAGTCCGCGCGCCTCTCTCTCGCGCTCTCGCCGCTCAACGCGTCACCGCGCGTCGTTTCGTTCGATCGAATGCCCTCGCCCGTCGTCGTCATCCCTCGCGCGCGCGCGCTCGCCGCACCTTATTACTGCAGTTCCGCACGTCTTGCACGAACACCGTCAGGCCGCGCATACCACCGAGAAACGGCGCCATGTCGCCGCGCGCGCGCGTCGCGTCGCGTCGTCGAGTGCAGATCGTCCCGATGAGTCAACGGAAATTCGTCACAAATTCGCGACTCCGCGACGCGCGCGCCCTCGCGCGCGCTCGAACGCGCGATGCGAACGCGCACACGTATCTTTGTGCGCGTCTGATGGCGTCCGAGTCGCGCGCGCGAGCGCCGATCGCGCGCGCGAGGCGCGAAACGTTGAAGAAGATGCCGCGGTCGAGTCGAGCGAAGCGGCGTCGCGGCGTCGCGGCGACGGCGCTCGCGCGCGCGCTGATCGCGGCGTCGTGGTCGTGCGTCGTCGCGCTGCGCCCGGGGGCGTCGATGTCGATCGACTGCGTGACGCCCGAGGTCGGGCCGGCGGTGGGCGGGACGCTGGTGACGCTCGCGGGCGAGGGGTACGGCGGGAGCGCGGACGCGGCGTGCGCGTTCGACGACGCCGTCGTCGCGCCGACGTCGAAGGGGACGCAGAGCGGGCACGCGACGATGGTGTGCCTGAGCCCGAGGCACGCGGACGATCGAGGAGGGTTCGTGAGCGTGGGGCTGACGCTGCGAAGGGCGAACCGAGCGGCGACGACGGCGCCGATGAATGAAAACGGCGAGACGTTTAATTTCGCGAAACAGATGTCGGTGACGAACGCGTACCCGACGGACGCGCCGGAGATCGGGGGAGAGGTGTTTTATTTGCAAGGGAAGCACTTGCACGAGGCGGTGAGCGTGCGATGGACGAAGCCGGTGACGCACGTGGGGGTGGACGTGGTGTCGAGCGCGTTGATTCGATGCGAGACGCCGCCGCTGACGAGCGGGGAGATTTCGTCCATGGTGATCGCGACGTTCACGGCGTCGCAGAGCGAGTACGACGCGAATGCGCTCGCGGCGACGACGGCGAATCAGACGGTTTCCATACCTCCGCGATCGCGCGGAGTGTTGGGATTTGTGTTGGAGACGAATGACTTTTCGCTCACGAGCGCCACGTCGAGCGTCAACGTCACGGGCGGCACGCCCGTGTTGGTCACGGGGAACGGTTTTAGCACCGTCGGCGGGGAGGACGACGGAGACTTTTTGAGTTGCTTCTTTGGCACGATAGGCCCCATCGACGCGCGCGTGACGGCGTCGAAGACGGCGACGTGCTACTCGCCCGCGCGCGCGGCGGCGGCGAGCGTGCCGTTGCGCTTGGGCATCGGCAACGGTCGCTTCGTACTCACGACGACCGTGAACGTGGCGTTTACCGAAACAACGCGACAGACAACCGACCCACTTGAGCCCGCGGAAGAGGCACAGAGCTTGGTGGTGATGAATCCGACGCTAGACGTCGCGAGCGGCGCGACGCCGTTTGACGTCGTCCTCGGCGGCAATTTCTTCGTTAGAGGTTCAGGTTTTTCTTTCGATTATGATGACGGTTGCGTGTGCACCTATCCCGATGCCTCGACTTCACGATTGGTGTACGTATCTAGCGCTATCGCGCGGTGTTTGGACACCCCGACTTGGACATCGGGAGAGGTGAAAATTAGCTGTAGCGCCGACGCGAACGCGGTGGTTCGCTCCGTGTACGTCGCCCCCGTGGCGGTGCCAACGATCACGAGCGTGGACGTGCTGACGATCACGCATCAGGGTGGCGTGGCGTTACAAGTCACTGGGACGTCGTATCCCGACGAAGGCGAGAGTCGAGCGTATTCGGGATGTCATTTCGGTGCCGTCGGTCCCGTGCACGCGCGATATATGAGCGGGACAGTTGCCGAATGTGTGACACCGGCGTTGAAGCCGTCGCAGAGCGCGCTCATGCTCGGGTTCGGGGCGACGGAGTCGGTAGATTTAGTACAGTACGGGTTGACTATTCCAGTCACCGCGGAGACGACGTCGGCGTACGTCGCGCCGCCGTTGTGGTTGACGCCGGCGACGACATACCTCGCTGCGGCGACGGCGAAAATAATCGTCGGGGATCATCAACAGCTCGGGACGTTGTCCGTGGGAACTTTGAAGTGCGTGTTCGGTTCAGGAAATTTAAATGCCACTGTCGGTACGTACGTCGCACCCTCAGTGCACTGTCCGACGCCCGCACTCCTGTCCCCAGGCTTCGTCGTCGTGCGATTGGCGCGCGACGCCGCCGCGGCGTCGCTCGATCCGCCGGCGATTTTGTTAGTCAAGGAAGACCACGCGGTTACTGGCGCGCATCCGCGCCAGACCTGGGGACCGGTAGACGTGATATCAATCACGGGATCGAATCTCATATCCACGCACGTCGAGGGAACGATAGATTCCGCGAAATCGCTGTGCGTGTTCGGCGGCGGCGCCGGCGTCTCTGGTGGCGTCGTTGTTTCGAGCGCGTTGATCATGTGCGAGTCTCCGCTCGCAGAGTCCACGGGTGTGGTCGAGCGTTGGGTGACGCCGTGTTTCGAAGAGTGCGATTCCACCAAAGCATTACCCACCGGATCGACCGCCTCCGCCTCGCACACGCGCGTGGCGTTGACGTCCATGGCGCAATCGTACATGTCCGCCGTCGACGCGGCGAGCGGTTGGACATTCGGCGGCACGCCAGTTCGCGCCACGCTCTCCATCGCCGTCGCGAGTGAGATGCTTACGTGCCACTTTGGTTCCACGCGCGTCCAAGCCCGCCCCGCGGGAGTCGCCGTCGTCGAAACCGTCGCTTCGGCGCAGGGCGAAAACATTGAAATCGACTGCGTGTCCCCCGCGCGCGAGCGCGGATCCGTCACCGTGTACGCCACCCTGGCGCAATCCCGCGCCCCACTCTTGAGCGGTGTGGCGTTTCTGTACAAGTAGTTTTAGCTCGTAGCGTCGCGTCGCGGCGACTTCTGTAGCGAGTCCGGTCGAACGAATTCGCGTCTCGCCGCGCGCCGCCCGCCGTCCCGGCACATCATGGCGTCCCTCGCGCGACCGGGCGTCGCCTACACCCTTCGCGGCGCGTTGTATCTCGCGTTGACCAACCAAACGAATGCGACGCCGCTGACGCGACTCCGCGGACCCGCGTTCTCGATGCCGGCGTCGTCAAAGTTTCAGTTACTGACCGAGCCCGAGCCGACGGCTGCTGAACTCGTCGACGTCATCGACGCCTTCTACGACGCGCTGCCGCCCATCGCGAGCAGGTGCGTCGACGCGACCGCGCGCGCGGCTCGATTCCACCCGCGAGCGTCTCTCGCGCTCGATCGGACCCCGCGCTGACGAAAGAAGTGACTCTGGACGACGCGCGCAGCGGCGAGAGCGACCCGGGCGTCGTCTTCGCGGGATACGGCGAACCGTTGCTGCGCCACGACGTGCTGTGCGACGCGCTGCGAGAGATACGAGCGCGAAGACACGGAATCGCGACGCGCGTCGCGACGAATGGACTGGTGGATGTGGCGGTGTGCGACGCGTTGCGGGACGCCGGATTGCGAAGCGTGACGGTTAACTTTGCGAGCGCGGATCCGGATGAGTACGCGCGAATCATGGCGCCGAGGGACGGAAGGACGCAAGGAGACGCGTTGGCGTTCATTGAACGATGTAGTGAACTCGGGATGGAGGTAGAGGCGACGACGACGCGAACGCCCGGCGTGGATATCGCTCGCGCCAGAGAGCTCACGATGGCGCTCGGCGCCAGCGCGTTTCGAGAACGCGAATATTTCCCTTAGAGCATTTTCCCTTAGTTTATTGTGAATACGTGTTGTACAACGATGATCGAAGCTATGTATTGTGCAGTCGCGATCTTTTCGCGGGCGTGAAGTCGTCGGCCAGCTTGCGGACGGGCGCACGATTCGCCAACGGCGTCGACATCGCGCCGCCGACGGGTGTCGCGGCGACAATTGCTCGCGGTCCCCCGCGCATCGGCGCGGGCGTGGTGCCGCCCATGGGCGTGCATTTCACTATCGCGGGCGTCGATAGCGCGCGGTTACCGCTCGGTGCGGGCGTGGCGCCACCTTGGAGAGCTGAATGGCGCGTAACGCCGCGAAACGTTTGCGGTCGCGGATGCGCGAACGTCGGCTTTTTCAAATCTTTGACGGACACCTTGACTTCCTTCGTGTTGTTCCGCCCACGCGCGAGGTGATGCCAGCCCTCGTGCGGTTTCGCCTTAATTTTGAGCTTCGGCGCCGGTTCTGCGGGTGCGAGTCTTTCCGGTGCTTTCGGCTTTCTTGGTGAGCGCCTGAGCGCGGGCACGGGAGAAAACGGCGTCAACGCGACGGCACTTGCGTCGCCGCCGGCGTCGGGTTCCATGGTCAAGCCGAGATCGCGCTGCAACACTCGCAAAGTGTCTGGTATGAATCCGCTATAGTGTGGAGTCAACTCTGCCGCCATCAACGAGCGCACGCCCTCGACGCCGCAGGGTTGAAGAAGAAAATGAATCTCGTCCACCAACTTTTGCACAGACTTGACGAGTTTCTTTTGCTCTTTCTTCGAGATGGCGCGCTCTTCGACAGCCTCGCACGCGTCCGCGCCATTCTCATCGCGCACTTGCGTCACTTTGAGAGAAGCCAACTGCAGCGCGACGTGCATCTGTAATATGAACTCCAGCCGCTTGGCCGCCTTGGATGAGTGTACACCGACGTACTTTGCCTTGAGCTCTTTTGAATTCTTCGCGATTGCGCGTTCGAGTCGCTCGACGAGATTATCGTCTTCGTTCGAGCCCACGCTCAAGCGGAATCGATAAATAATCTTGGCAGCGAAATCATGGAGATTCGGCTCGTTCAATCCGTCCCCACCTTCGAGCGCGCTGAACGTAGCGACGAATGACTCGTATTCCTCGAGCGCCGCCTGTTCGACATCCCCAGTCCATGGCGGCACGTCAGCGTCCATTGCAAACACCGTTAGCGTAGACGCGAGCGATCGTCGCGCTCGTGACTTTCGCGGCGGCGAAACAATGCCATTATGGCGTTTGAGCATGTCCTTGAACCGTTCATCGAGATTATTCAAGAGTTCGCCCGCGGTGTCTGAAGATTTCGTCGCTTTATCTTCCACGCGACGCAACATTTCTCGAGTCTTTGGCACCAAATCGCGCGAGCCGTACCAAGCTTCCAACCGAGAGGCATCTTGTTGCACGCCAATTCGCTGGTCCGCGATGAAAGCTTCCTCAAGGGTGTTCACATCGACCGGCATCAGCGGCGCACTTGAGCTCTGCGTCGCAGCGTCCATCGACAACACTTGTTGCGTCAACGCTAAAGAATCCTGCGTCGCCGGAGGTGACACAATCTTCTCGCGCACGTCTTCGCGAATCTTCGCGAGCAATACGTGCACATTTTCGAGTGACGCTAAACAATCTCGCCTCGACGCGAGTTTAACAATTTCGCTCCGAGCGCTCGCTTTCGCTGCCGACGCGCGCGGGCACAGCTCGCCAGGCGTCGTCTTCAGGGAAGTGACGATGAAGGACGAACACGTCAACGGCTCTAGAATCGCGATCTGCTCGTGTCTCCCAGCATCGCGTCGGACGACTGCGACTGCGTCTTTTAGTACAAGCATCGCCATAAGCGCACGAATCGGCGAGTCGTCAAAGCACAAAATGGTTTGCGTTTCAACAGCCAGCGCCGCGGCTGAGGGCGCTTCGGCGCGGTCGATGAAACCGACAATGGCAATCGAACCGTCACCTCGACCATGATATCGCGCTTGATGGGCTTCGCCTAAGCGATGCGCCGATTGCGAGTCTCGAGTCTCGACGATTATGTCCACCGTACTTGTCGACTCCACCGTAGTCGTGGACGCGCTCGCCTCGTCACCGCGGCTCAGCGCCGAGAGCGTCGAATACAGCGGCAGCCAGGACGCGAGTCTGCTCGCGACATCGAGCGATATCACCGCACCATTCAATTTATGAAACGTCTCTTGCAAGACGTCCGCGAACGCGCCCGTCGGTCCGTCGCCGACGTACAACAAATGCGCTCGAACGCGGTCTCGCTTGAACTTCTCCTCGATGCCTTTAAACAACTTGGCCACGTGCTTCGCATCAACCTTCGCCGCTTCCGCTTCCGACAGCTCGGGGAGTGCGGTGATGATGAATAACGCGCTGTACTTCTCGCCTTCGTCGTCGTCGTCCGCGAAAGTCGCGGCGAATCCGCCGCCCGCGGCGGCGAAATCGTTCGTCGCCGCGCCGACGTTCCGCGTCGCGTTCACCAACCAACTCTCGATCGCCCCCCGTCCATCCTCGTCGCTCGCCGCGACGTCGCCGCCGCTCGTAAATGTCTCTAAATACTCCCCGCACGTCGTCTCGCACGTCCTGAACGCGTCCTCGACGGCGTTTTTGTCGCACCGCCGAAACTTTCCAAACTCATCGCCGCGTCGTCCCGTCGCCTCTCGCGCCCGCGCGTCGAACGCGTGCGGCGGCACCGACCCATCGCACGCGCGCACGGTAAATTCAACGTCTTCGCCCGCGCGCCCGTCGACGGCGCGTTCGAGCGCGCGGCGCGCGAAGGTTTTCCAAGTTGAAGATTTAAAATCAGCTCCCGACGTCGACGCCGACTGCGTCGCGCTCGCGCGCTCGCGCGTCGCGCGCGCGTCGACGAGAAAGTGCACGCGTCGCGGGCGCGCTGTGTGCGCGGCGTCGACGCGCATGTCCCGCGCGCGCGGGTGAGTGACGCGGTGCCTGGATCCGAGCGCGCTCGACGCGAAGCCGAGCGGCGAGCGGCGAGCACACGCGCTGTCGGCTCGCGGACGCGCCATGAATGAATGAATGCGCGTATCGATACAAACTCTGCTGGAGTGATCACTAGTAGAAACTTCTCAGGATAAATCGAAGCCGCTGCCGGACTTGACGGCGTACATTAATTTTTCGCGCAACGCGTCGTCGGAAGAATACGGCGGTAGTTTCAGAAGGTTCATGCACGTCGCGGCGGTGGGAAGCCTGGTCAAGTCCGCGGTCGCGTCGGGGGCGTCCGTGCCCGCGGTACCGCTTCGATGCACGCACAGTTTGGGTTCGAGATGCGAAAACCCGAGCAGTGGTGTGTTGCTGCACGAGGTGATGAATTTGAGCACCAAACGTTGGTCGTCTGGGGAAATCGTACGCATGACGCGCCACAACGCGCGAATCGTCGGATGCGACGCCTCGTAGCCGCCAGAGTATTCGCAGTTTGCCGCCATGTCATCGATGTCCATGCTTCCCGTGCGATTACCTGATATGAGTAATCGCAGTTCGGCGGGGGTGAACATGTCGAGCCAACGCTTGCGAACGGCGATGCTAAAGCCCGCCTTCATGCTCGAAAGTTGGCGGTAGATTTGCGCTCGAAGCAAATAAATCGACATGCAATGAAGGTACCGCGGGACGTTAGCCCTCGTCACCGGTACGCTCGAGCCATTCGGGATGAGCTCGATCACAGTTTCTTCCATGCCACTTCGATCGATGGCGGTAAAGTACAGACATAAATCCTCGACGTCGCCTTGGTAGCGTTTGAGCGAAACCAAGTTGCGATAAAGCTCGGGATCGAGCGTCGTCAGGTCGTTAAACTCGACGTGTCGACCTTTCAGCGAGGCGAGGAAGAAATCAGCGAGTGGAACGTCGAGAAGAATCCCATCGTAGCACGCTTTGCCGAGGATGGCGCCGAGAAAGTAAAAGTACTGCAAGTGTCGCTCGCCCGCGTGCAACTCAGACGCTGGATTCGGGTAGAGCGTGCGCTCGGGCGTCTCGACGAACAAGCCGAATTTCGGATCGAACGCTTCCGCAATTAAATCGTTCAAGAAATCTTTGAATAAACCGCCGCCGTCGACGCCAGCCTCTTCGAGCCCTTGCTGATTGATGAACTGCACGCGAATGATTCCGCCGAGCGTCTCTGTGAGCTTATCCGAAAGACCGGCGATGCCGTCTTCGAGCAAGTGCCCGCGTCTTACGCGAATCGTGGCGTAACCAACGGCGCCCATTTGACGCTCGCGACGACGGACGTCCATGAATTTGTGCACGCGCACTTCGAACGGTACCAAACACGGTGCACCGCACAAAAGCATCGACGCGCGCGATTTTGCATCGCGGGCCTCTTGCAAAAGCGTTGGGATGTCCACTTGGGCGTCGCGCACTTGAAACTCGAGCGGGTTCATAAATTGATGACGCCCGTTGCGATCGTGCAGGCGCGCGAGCGCTATAGAACACGCGTGCCATGTCTCCGCCTCGAAATATTCGTCGATGAAAGACAGCGCGTTTAAAGGTGTGCCATCCGGACCCCGTTCAACCCACAGCAACGTCCAGAGCGTGTCTCTTAAAAATGCGACGAGACGCGTCGTCGCCTCGAGACCGAGCGGTTTTCCCAGACGATAAAATTCTTCATCGTCGGAAATAGCGGTGTAGGTGTTGTACAACTTTGCGAAAACGCCCAAGGCTCTGCGGAACGAGCGTTCTTGCCCACCTCCGGAAGTTTGCCTCCAATGCTCGAGGGCGGGCCAAAGTTGAGCGATGCAATCCGTGCCAAACGTGAGCACGCGCGTGAACGACGCTCGCTCGGCGCCTCTGAGCACCATGTCGCACGCGCACGCGAAATGCGTGAACCCTTCGATGCCTACTAAGCATCGCTGCGCGTCGTTCGCAGGCATGATCGTTGTGACGAGTCGCGCGACACACGCGTTGTCGCCGAAGAATTCGCGCGTTTGCATCCACGTCCTCGTGGCTCGCACCGCCTCCATGTCCACGTCAGGGGGCACGCGTCGAATTTTACGCGCCTCCGCGCGCACGGCGCGAAGATTGAGTAAGTCAATCTTGACGCTATCGTCGTCGTCGTCGTCGTCGTCCGCACCGCCCTCGTCATCGTCTTCGTCCTCCATCGCGTTCGGCGTTGTGGCAAAGAGCGCGCCGCTCAAAACAGACGACTCCATGAGTTTTGTCACCGCGACGACGACATTCTGTGACTGCGAAAAGTCCATCGTACCTATGAACGTTTTCGTGAGTTGCAACACGTTCCCGAGCGCGGCGTCGACGCCGCTCAGCGGCGTCTCGAGTGCGACGGTAGCCACCGAGTCGACGTGACGATCAGACTTGAACGCGTCGACGACGAACGACCACAAATCTCTCGAATGAATCTCCGGCCCGAACGTGTCCCACACCCCGGGTATCGTCGCGAGCATCGACGCGAGCGCACCACTCGCGTCGTCACCGCTACACCGCGCGATGTTTTCGCACGTCCTAAGCATCGCCGCCCGAACGACGTCGTCGCGGCGACTTTGATTTCTCAAAATATCGAGCAAAATCTCTCGCACATCTTCCAAACCATCGTTCGAGCACAGAGTCGCGCACAATTGAACGCCAGTATCTTTCCATCTCGCGTCATCTCTCGCCATGAGCGCCAACAAAGCGCTCGCTAAGTGCGTCTCCGCGACGTCGCGTCCAGTCGTCTCCTCCAAGCGCGTCGTCGCTCGAAGCGACCCCACGATCAACCGCACCATCTTCCGCATCCTAATCACCCATCGCGCGCGCTCCACGCCCGACGCCCGCATCGCGTCGTCCCATCTCTCCACGAACGCCTCGCTCGGCGCCACGCTCGTCGTCGTCGTCGCCGCCGCGTACAACCGTTCACACGCCGCCGCGCACGCCGCCCAATCTCTCCATCCATCACCAAAATACACCAAAGCCCTGCACGACGCGTCATCAACCATCACACCTTCGCTCGCGTTCGCGTACGCTTCCCTCACCGCCGCTTTCGCGCGTCTAACCTCCCGCGCGCCTCGTCGAAACCGCTGCGCCGTCGCCGTCGCCGTCGCCGTCGCCCTCTGCGCCGCCCTCCGCTCCCGCGCCTCGCGCGCGCTCTCGATCAGCGCCCGCTGCGTCGACGGTTCATCCTTTCGCCGTCCTCCGAGCGAGATGTGTCGCTTTTTCGTCGTCGATCCGTCGAACACCGGCGCCATTCGTTCGCGAGTTTACCAAACTGTGTCAATCGAGATTCACAATCGCCGACCGCGCGCGACGCGCCGCGCGCCGCGCGACGTCGGCGCGTCCGCGCGACGCGCACCGACGCGTCGACGCGCGTCGACGCGCGATTCGCGCGCGATTCGTGCGCGCGCGCGCGAATGCCGGCGGAATGACGCGACGCAATCGTCACTCGCCGACGCATCGGCCGCGCGCGCCGCCATGGCGTCGCGCGCGACGACGCGCGACGTCGACGACGGCGGCGTGTTATTCCCGCGGTGCGTTACGCCGACGCGCTCTCGCGCGCGCGCGCGTCGACGCGCGACGACGACGCGATGATGACGCGACGAGGGCGCGCCGACTGACGCGACGAATCGACGAAACGACGCGCGCAGAGTGACGCATCAGCGCATCGACGTCGACGTGAGGCGCACGAAACGCGCGCTTCGCGGCAGGACGACGCTGACGTGCGCGGGCGCGGACGGCGCGTTCGCGGGCGCGCGGGTTCGCGCCGAGGGGTTGAAGATCGCGTCGTGCGCGATAAACGGTGCGAGACGCGCGAGGCGAAGCGACGACGACGACGACGACGACGAGCGATTCGAACGATGCAAACGATGCGATGCGACGCGATGCGACGCCGCGACGAGAGGAGGCGCGAGCGGGGAGACTGACGGGTGATGGATGGAATTCGACGCGCGCCAGGCGTGGAGTGTCGAGCGACGAAGACGAAGACGAGTAAACCGACGATCGGGACGAAGACGGCGCCGAGCGATGCGTTGAGCCTGGCGAAAGACGTGCGGACGTATTTGGAGTCTGAGAGTAACTTGGACGGAGAGGAACACTCGAGGGAGGTGGTGATCGCGCCGGTGAGCGGGGAGAAGATTGAGGCTCGAGCGCGAGGCGCGGCGAACGGGGAGTCGACGTCGGCGACTACGGAGAAGGAAATCGTGATTGAGATCGAGTACGAAACGGACGAAAGCGCGATGGGAATCGCGGCGGATGAATCGTACTTTTTGTGCCCGGGGGCGTCGAGGCGGCCGGCGTGTTGGTTTCCGTGCGTCGAGCGAGGGGACGTGCTGACGACGTTTGATTTCTCGGTGAGCGCGCCGAGGGATTTGCAAGTCATCACGTCCGCGCATTGGGATCGCGTCGAGCGGTGCAACGACATCGATGAAGACGAAGACGGCTTTAGGCTGCGACATCACTTCACGGGGATGTATCCGACGTTTGCGCACGAAATGCGATTGATTTGTGGCAGGTTCAAGGCGGTGTCGAGCCCGATCAAAGGCGTGACTTTGTTCGCTCCCAAAGACGGCGATTACGCCGAGCGCTTGGAGATCGCGGCCGCGGGTGTGAGTAAGGCTATCGTGGCGTACGAGGAATATCTCGGGCATCCGTACCCTATTTCGTGCTTGAATATCGTCTTCATGCCGGACGAGTACGTGGGAGCGCGCGATAGCTTGGGCGCGTGCATGAACATTCACTCGGCTAAATGGTTGATAGACCCGACGCTCAACACGGCTTTGCTCGATGCGCGCGTGCATATCGCCACCGCCATCGCGCGACAGTGGTTCGGGGGCGTCGTCGTCCCGGCGGATACCACGGACTGTTGGGTCGTGGAAGGACTGGCGCAGTATCTCGCCGGCGCGTATGTGAAAAAGTTGACGGGATTGAACGAACTGTCGTTCAGGCGCATGCGCGACATGCAATTGACGGCGCGGATGGACGACGGTGAATCACTCCCCCCTCTCGCCAGTCGTGCGGCGCGCATTTGGCGCGCCGGACAGTACGCCGGCCCCGACCTTGCCGCCGGCGGGACGCCGAAGCCACTCTCGGCGAGCGTCGAGCGCGGGTTGCAAGCCAAGGCGGTGACGATCATTTACATGCTCGAGAAACGCCTCGGGCCGGATGTCATGCAGAAGGTGTTGAAATATTTCGCAGGATTGCATGTTCGTAGAAATAAGAAGGAGGGCGGGACGCGCGCTGGTCCCTCCGCGGAGGTGCTGTCGAGCAACGCGCGTTGGATTCACACGCTGCAACTCTTCGATCACTGCCGCGCGACGGTCAACTTGGGCAAAGGTGAGGTGAACTCCTTCTTAGAACGCTGGGTGTATGGCGCGGGCACGCCGAAGCTGTGCGTTGGATACGTTGTGAAACGTAGGAAAAACGTCATGGAGTTTGCGGTCAAACTCGAAGGGAGCGTCGCGGCGGCGGCGGCCGACAGAGCGGCACTCGCCGTCGCCAGAAACCATCGCACTTCGGTCACCGTGCGCATGCGCGAAGAGAACCGCCCGGATGCGAACGATCACGTCGTATCGCTAGGACATTCTGCTTGGCAGTTGATGGAGATTCCTCTGCAACCGAAAATCAAAGATCGTCGCCCGAAGACAATCATCGAATCTGGAGGTGACCCCGAACTCATCGCCGCGATGGATTGTCCGGTACGATACGTCCGCGTGGACCCGGAATTCGAGTGGATGGGCAACATAGAACAAAGTGCGAAGCAGGTCGGGTTAGAGTCGATGATGGCGCAGATGCTGGAGAAAGAAAAAGACATCGTCGCGCAAACCATCGCCGTGGAATTTCTCGGTCGCCGCGTCGCCAACGGATCCGTGAGCGCAGTTCTCGTGCTGGATAAGTGTCTGAACTCTGAGGATACCTTCTGTCGCGTGCGCGCCGAAGCAGCGCTAGCGCTCGGCAAAAGTGCGAGCGAGAAAACGCAATGGGGCGGATTGAACGCGTTGATTCGGCATTACAAAAAGTTTCAGTGCGACGCCAACACGGGAAAGCCGAAACAAAACGACTTTAGAGACCTCGCGAAAGTCATCGTTGACGAAGCCGTCATCACGGCGCTTGGTTACGTCATGGATAACGGAATCACCCATCAGGATGCGCTCGAGGCTATCGTTGCCCGACTAAAGTATAACGACAACGAGGGCAATCCGCAGAGTGATGACGGATTCGTGGCGACGTGCATCGCCGCGCTCGGCCGCTGCGTTCCCGCGGATGGCAAGCAACTGCAAACCGTCATGCAGACGATTCATTACTACATTCGGCGTGATGACAGATTTCCAAGCGACGACCTTTGCGTGACGTGCGCTGGAATCAGAGCGTTAGGCTTACTCGCTTCGACGATCGACTCGAAAGAGCTCCGCGCCGACGCCGAACACGTCGCCAAACTTGGATTCGCGCTCGGTAGACAATCCACCGTGCTCGCTTCCGCGGACACGATGATGTACCTTCGCTTCGTCGAAACTAAGAGCGAGATCGAAGCGCTCAAGTACATGCTTGAACGATCGGCGCAAGAGTCTGCGGCGACAAAGGCTGCCATGTTGTGGAGCGCGTGCGAGTACTTGCAATCCGTCGCCGGGGCGGATTCTTTGAAGGGCGTCTCGAAGCCGATATTGGCCGACCTCCGTGATCTCGTGCTAAAGGGCGGAAGCGAAATTGCGAGCGCGGCGTTTTCGATCCTCGCCACGCTCGCTTCGCAAGATGAGAGCCTGAGTGAGATTCGAGAATCCATCGCCGAGGCGATTCGGCGCGCGGGCGATCAAGTCCCAGTCGGCGTCGATGTCCACGCCGCGCACGCCGCGCCAACGGCTGAGGATGAAGTCAAGCGCGCGGAGAAGGAAGCTAAGCGTGCTCGGAAGCGAGAACGCGAGCGCTTGCGACAAGCCGCGCGCGCCGAGGTAGACTTGAAAAACGCTGAACAGCGTAGAATCGACGCCGAGGCGGCGTTTGTCGAACAGCAAGCGGAACACGTACAAGACGACAAGACGACCGTCTCCGAGCGCACGGCGACGATGATGGGATCAGAAGGCGACGCCACGCCTCAAGGTGGTACTCCGGTGGGTGGCCTGAAGCGCGCGAGAGATCAGAATCCGAGCGTCACGCAGTTTGCCGTGGAGCCTGCGGCGCCCGTCGCGACGGAGGACGCCGCGCCCGCCGCGACGGAGGACGCCGCGCCCGCGAAGAAGCTCAAACTTTCGTTCAAAATTAAAAAACCCACGACGTAGGTAGACTATGAATACACACGATGCTACATTAGCGCACAACTCGAACGAACGCGTCATTGAATCTTCGACTGATCCTTCCACAGGCTCGGCAAGCGCGACCAGCACGCGTTGATCGGATCCGGAATCACCCGCAACCTCGCCGGCCGCGTCGCGTACAGCGCGATCGCGCACATCATCACATCCGCCCTCACGAACGCGCTCACTCCACTCAGCGCCATCGCCGCGTACATCGTCGCCGCGCTCACCGTCCTCGACCGCCACTCCGCCACGCTCGCCGCCCGTTCCGCCGCCTTCGCCGCGCGTTCCATCAACACCGTCGCGTCTTTCGCCGTGAACTCCATCACCGGCGCCGTCTCTTCCGTCTCATTCTCGCCGCCGCCCTCGCCGCGCATCAGCGCTCGCCGCAGATCCGCGCGTCGTTTTCCGTCTCGCGTCGCCAGCGCGCACGCCGCCGCCAGCGCCGCGCACGCCGCGTTCGGCCGCGCGATCGCCGCCACCATCGCCGCTCGCACCGCGATCGCCGCGACGACGCCGCCGCGTCCATCGAGCGCGTCTCTGACGAACGCGATCGCGCGTCGGAACGGGCCGAGCGCGACGCAGATCTCGCGCGCGCCGGCGTCGACGTGCTCGAGGGTGAAGATCGCGCGCTCGGCGGGGAGCACGACGTCGACGGTGACGCCGGGCGCGGGTTTCGGCGCGGACGCGCGCGCGGGGACGGCGGCGCGCGACGGCGCGGACGCGGTCGCGGTCGACGCGGACCGCGCGGACGACATGCGCGACGGTGTGACGCGGCGCTCGACATTTTTGTGAATTTTTGTGAATTTTTGCGAATCCGGGCGCTCGAGCGCGCGTGCGCGCGCGAAAACGCGGAACGAGGCTGAAAATCGATGGTCGACGATACGATGGTGCTTTCGTAAGACTACAGCGCGCGCGCGCGATTCACGCCATGCCTACCACCGTCACCAGCGGGCGCGTCTCGACGTCGTCGTCTCCGTACCGGCTCGTACCGGCTGGTACCGGATTGCCGCGCCGTAACCAGCCGACGCTCGGGACGCGCTAGCAAGAGACGAGCGGGGCGCTCCAGTGCTCGTCGTACTTGGCCTTGGCGAATTCGTAGACGCTGATGTCGTGCTCGACGAGCGCGCGCAATCCCGCGACGATGGTGGGGTCGGCTTTGTACGCGTCGAGACGCGCGGCGAGCGCGGGGGCGAGCTTTTCGGCGCTGCCGTTGTGATGCTCGAGAAGAGCGCCGCTGATGTACTGCTTGTTCCCGCCGTCGTCGCCGAGATGCGCGAGGTCCGGTAGCTTTTCTCGAATGCGCTTCATACCGTTTTCGATGTCGTCTTGGAAAATGTAGCGCACGCACGACGAGGCCAAATTCGCCTTGGCGGCTTCGGCGCCGCAGGGCGTGTGACCGCCGCGCGCGCCGAGTAAGCCCGTGAGCTGCGCCGCCGTGCTGCGCTTCTGGTTGTACCACTCCAAGGGATTCAATGGGCATCCCTGGTGATTGTCCGCTGCGATCTCTTCCGCAGTCCACGACAAGTGGCCCTCGTTCGCCTCGAGACACAAATACGTGTACTCGCTCCACAGGCGAGACATCGGCTCGCGAAGGACCGTGATGTACGCGCACGGCGCGTCGACCGTTCCGCACATCCCGATGCCCGTCGCACCGGTGAAGTACATCCGTCTGCCTTCGTCGTAGTCGGCGTGCATAAATTCCTTTGAAAACGTACCCGATTTCGACTCGCGGTTTTGTTTAAACGTCCTCAACATCGTCGGAACGTGCCGCGCCTGCAACGAATTCAACGGCCTCCACGGATTCACGAGAAAGTCCGGGTGCGCGGGCTCGTGAAGCACGACCGTCTCGTGGTTCTTATTCTGCTTCAACATCTCGATGAAAACCGACCCCGCGGCTTTGGGAATGTGCACGAAGATCCACGCGTACGCCGAACCCGGCTTCGTCGCGAACGGTTTCGCCACCCCATCCTGCGGCACCACGACCGGCGCGCCCGTCGGTTCGTTCATGCACTCGTACACCTTCGTCTCGAACTCGACGTTATCGCCCGCGTCCGCCGCGTCCCACAATCCGAGCTCATCCATGTATCGCGCCGCGCACGTGTTCGCCGCCGCGTTCGCCCCCGCGCCCGTCGGCGACAACGCGCACGTCCCTCCCGCCCCTTCGCCGAGCGCCGACGCCCGCGCGGCGTCCGCGGAGCGTCCCACGATCGCGCCCATCGCGAGCAGCGTGGTTCCCGCGAAGAACAGCGCGCTCGCGACGCGCATGTTGAACACGACGTGTCGCCCAACACCCTCGGCGCTCGAGCCCGCGACGGCGCGCGACGCGGCGCGCGAGGACGAGGACGCGCGACGCGACGCGCGCTCGACGTCATCGACGTCCGGTATCAGGGAATCGCGCTCGCTCATGACGACGCGCGCGGACGAGTGGCGACGGTGGACGCGAACGCGATCGGTCGCCTCGGCGCGAGCGGCGGCGGCGAAGACGCGAAGACGCGAAGACGAAATGTTGTACGATTACACGCGACCGGTGAACTTGTGGGTGTGCTTGTGCTCCTCGCGAAGGGCGGCGAAGACGACGCGGCGCGCGCCGCCCGCGCCGGCGCCGAGCGCGGCGTGAAGCTGCTGAAGCTCGCGGTCGCCGCTCGAGTCGAGCAGGGCGAAGAGACCGGGCTTGAGCGCGGATTCGGCGACGACGCCGATGCCGCCGCCGGTGATGGCGGTGATGGCGTCGGCGAGTAAGTGGGTGCAATAACGGTCCAGACCGCTGGCCTCGGCGGATTCGTACACGAAGGAGAGCTTACCGGCGCAGCTTTCCATGACGGCGGCGCTCGCGCCCGAGGCTTTAAATCGTCGCAACGCGGCGAGGAGATCTGAACACGCCACGGTGATACCCGATACCGCGCGACGCAGGTGATCTTTTCGAGACTTCAACAGCACGCCGATGAGTTCGCACGCTTGGCAGAAAATCTTTGTCATCGCGTCGCCGTCGTCGAATACGGCGTCCGACGCGCACGCGACGCTCGGAAGCTGACACATGCGCGACACGCATCTTGTGCTTATCTCGCATCGAGGACCGAGTCTGGCGAACTCGGTGGTGATTTCGAGGAGCTTATGTACCACGGCGTTGGCGTTCGGCACCCTAATGGCGACGGTCATCGCTCGCATGCACGCATCCATCACGGTCTCAACATTTTCCTGCGCCGCCGTGCGAATCGCCTTGCCCAAATGAAACGACTTGACGAGATTCATCAAGCACCACATGGGTGCCGCCAGGGAAACATCCAAGCGATCGGACGATAAATACGCCCTTCGCGATTCTGCGTCTGTCGTCTTGAATGCGTCGACGCACGCGTCGTACATCGCAGTCAAGGGACGTTTGCCTGCGCCGTAGACGAGCTCCGACATCGTCAAACTGAGCGATTCGTGCAAATCTGCCGCTGGCGTCGCGCTTTTCGCGCCGTCACGATCCACTAAAGCGCGCGTTCCGCGCGTGTACGTGAACATAAGGACAGCTACGAGCGAGGCGTGCGCCTCGGACGTGAGCTGTGGTCCTGTCTGCTTCAACGCGTCGCACGCCGCACCGATAAAGTTGACCAGTCGCGACGTCCCGCGTGAAGATAGTTCGTTAGACGTGTCCAACAAGACTTTAATCGCAACCGCGATCGCGTTTTGGACAAAATCTGCGTCGCACGTGCGATGGAACGCCTCGCTGTAATCCAGTGTCGTCGCCGACACCGCGAGAATGAACCCAGCGGCGGAGACGCACGAGGCGACGACTTCGACAGACTCTGCGACGGGCTTGAACTCACCGTTCTCAAGACCATTTTTCATGTCGAGAATCATAGACTCAATACGCGCACGAACTTGCATCACCGCAGGTGCGTCCCAAAATTGCGCTATGGCGTCGCCTTGCTCGTCCGTGAGCTCGTCTTCCTCGTCCAAATCTGGATTACCGTCGACCCAGCCGTACTTCTCCCGCTCGGGCTCCGTGTGCACCACGTTCGCCGCCGCGAATAGGGACTCTACCAGCGATAGAGCGAACGCACCTCCGACGTTTGCGACGTTGCGCTCGATGGAGTCTTCGTTTATAAATCGGTCGTCTAAAAGACGCGCCACGTTCGTCGCCGCGTTCGTATACACCGCAGCTTTTACCTTCAACGCGCTTCCGACCAAGCTCGCCTGGAACGCACTAGTCGTCGACTCGATGAGCCTTGACGCGAGTTCTACGTCGAGCATGTTGCGAAGCGCCAGGTTGGTGACGTTCAAGTAATGCCCTCCTCGTGTGATCAACCCAGATACAATCATCGCCGAATCTTCGTCGTGCGTGGCTAAAAACGCCGAGCGCGAGCGCACGCGAGTGCACAAATCCATGGCGGATGACATGCCGAGCGATGCGGCGTTGAACATCGCGCAATCGCCTATTTGTAACGCGATAGATAGTTCGTGGACGTCGGTTTCCGATACCGCACGGTAGTGCAAGCGCTCAGCCGCATCCACGGCTCTTCGCATTCGCTTCAGCGCCGCCGAATCTTCTCTCGTGCAGTTCTTTCCAAATCCATCGGTGATGGGCGTGCTCGCCGGTCCGATCCAAAAGTCTTTTATTTTATCGCATGCCGCCTCGCCTTGCCGTTTATTCTCCACGCAATCTGCGATGATGTCTTCTAAAACGTCGCATCTTCCCGCCGCGCTGGAATCGTCATCTCTGCTCAGCGACTCCTTCAACTCCCGCGTTAAATCTACCGCACCACGCGTGATAACGCTCGCAATCGCCCTGACCCATGGTTTAAACGTCGCCACGAGTTCGCTAAACTTATCTTCCTCTTCTGTCGAAAGCGCGCCTTCGCCTTCGATGTCCGTCTCGAGGCGGCATCGATAATAGTCTAAGATTCTAGCATCCGTCGCTTGTTCGTACCAGAGGTCGATCGTGGAAGTCAACACCTTCCACGCTTCCGTTTTGGAGTCGGGCGCATCGTATGAAGTCGTCAAAGTATCCGGAACCAGCTTTAAGCACGC